AAGAGTCTCGAATGTTCACAAGTCATGGGCACCCATGCAGGTTTTAAATAGGGACAAGATGGGGAGGACCTGGGAAGAATTGTGGCAGCGTGAACTCAGCTGATTTTACTTTTATGGGACTGTGGTGTAGTACAGTTCGGAATGACATTTCCCTCATGTGAAATCACTCAGCTGCAGAGGACAGTGGAAGTGCCTACGGGCAGTAATCCTTGTTGTCTTCTCTCAGTGCTTCCTTGGAAAGCTGCCTGTCAAGGTACAACACCGTGTTCACTGAGAAGCTCTGACATAAAGCATGAGGCTTGATGGAGAGTTCCAAGGTAGTTGAGACAGTGCAGAGTGTGGAGTTCTTCAAAGTAATGTGGGATTTCTGCCTCTACAGATGTACTTTAGGAGGTTGTTAGAATGAGTGGGCTTTGGACTTAGCTTTTGAAAAGTGAATGCAAGTGTTATTTAGTGGTTTCGGAAATGTTTGTCCTGGAAAGTTTGACAGCTCTGAAAATTTCTAAATTCCTGTCTGCTGTCATTCTGAGGACAGAATGATTAACTGTCAGAGCTGTGATTCAGCTGGATTTTTTTCCTTGGTAATAGTGTAATCCATTTAGGGTAGCAGTTTCCCAGCAAAACACTGCTCTGCTCAGCACCTTGCATGGCTGATGCCATTTGACAAGCACTGCGTTTACTGTTGTTTCCAGGCTGGGACAGACCCCGAAGTCGTTAGAAACAATTCAGCGTCGAGAATGTACTTCCTTAGATCCACCCATAGGTCACTCTCCTGTGGCCAGATGTTTTTCGATGTGTTGTTGTTGCGTAGCAGTTCTTAAAATCTGTTGACGTTACGCAGTCAAATGTTCTCCAGCTTTTGAGATTCAGGGTTTTCAGGATTCTGGGAGGAAATGAACTGTTTAACAGCTGGAGCATCCCCACAGTATCGATCAGTGGGAACCTTCCAGGGCCAGGAACATGACACGAATGTGCCTCTGGTCCTGAAACTGTTGGCACAGGGAAGGGAATGATTTTGATGTGTCACAGTGTGTTGAAGCAAGGAACACTGGAGAAAGTGAAGTGCCGACATATTATTCTTTTTCACTTCACCTTTCTTTCAGATAGAAATACAAAAGGACTCGCTTCTAGATACTGTGATTACTGATGCATTACTAGTAATTAAGATAGATGAAAAATAGCTCCACTTTAATTTTTAAATATTCTGTCCCATTTAGCTGCAGAGAGTGTCTCCTGAATTTGTATAGCTGCAGTAATTTGATATACTGATTTTTAGTAGGGAAAATTATAACTCCAGAAAATACAAAGAAAGATGTGCACTTCTATATATTCATAGTAGAGAATTGTTAAAAATAGGTGACTATTTCACAAATGAAATTCAAATATTACACATATCATGGGTTACATTGTTACAATGTGAAGATTGTGTTTTGTTAGAGAAAAGCAATTAGTAGATAGTTGGAATTCACAAGTAGTAATTCTGACTGCCATGTCTTGGTTGAGCTGTTTTATTTCTGTGTCTGGACTAATGTGACTGATACAGCCCCGAATTTCAAGAGCAGTCTCTGTTTTAAAGGGATACTGTTAATGTAAAACAAAAAAAAATTAAACATCATTCTTTCTTTGAATATATGTGTTCCAACTACGATCAAAAGATAATAGGACAGAAAGAAGTAAAGATATATATACACATGTATTTTAGTTTTGCTAAGTTACATGTTGTTTAACTACATTTGGAAAAAAAAGAAGTCTGTATAACAGATAATGTGTTAGGTATAAAAATAGCATGTTCCTAAGCAGCCTTTCTGTATTTTGCAGTGTTGAGAAATATAATTTCTGTGATTTTTGGTGCTTTAGAAGTACACTATGTACTTCCTTACTAATGAATAAGCGAAGACTGCTTTTATAATTTGTATTTGGTCTGTTTGGTCCATCTTTGCAATTTAATTTTTACCTTTTCAAGGATTGTTGGCATTTTGAGGAGAAGTGTATTTTTGTTGGGTTTTTGTTTGTTTTTTTGTGGATTTGCTAGCATTTAGCGCTGTTTTCTTCATTGTTTGTCGTGGGCTTATTCTTAAGAAAGAGGATCAGTGAATGACTAGTGAATAAAATATTATCTAATGCCCAGAGTAGAAAATAAACTAGAATTGAAGATAATTTCCTTTAAGACTTCCCTGCTGTGGTGTTGATTAGAAAACATAAAGGTAAAAAATGCCCATGCTGTTTTATATTGCCTTTAGAAATTAACCTAATGCAAAGCCCAAGGAAAAATGTTTCCCAAGTGCATGCTTCAGGGCATAATTATTTTTGTAAGAAATTTTTGTTATCACTACATTTGGTCTAATTGGGATCTGGATACGCCTATGTACTTCCTGCAGTCAACAAAAGAAGAACAGCTGCATTTACAGATATGCTTATTGATTGTTCCTAATCCAGTTGAGGTAAGAAATAAGAGTATATTATTTTCGATTAAGCTAGCGTTTGCCTAGATGCTTTTTAATTCAGTGGAGAGTTGCTGCTCTGCATGTGCTCCATTTTATGAAGCAATTGCAAGTAAAATGGTTTGGATGAGGAGGAGGGAGTATAAAGGTCGATAATATTAAGAGAGGATTTTGGTGCTGACTAGAAAGTACCTGCATCAAGCTAAGCGATGTCTCATCTGAGTTATAAGCAGCTATTTTCTAGGTTTTAATCTTAGTATCTTTCCATCTAAATCTTCTCTTCGAAGCTCTCTGGATAGATTTTAACTTGTTGGTAGGTCCTTACTAGTCTATTCTGGGGACACAGAGGTGCTTCTCTGAGGAGAACTACTTGTTAACACCTAAAAGAAGTCTACCTCCTTTCTTCTCTGCTGTGGCTCAGAAAGTAACCAGCTGTAAGATTTTGGCGTTATTGACCCCGGCTCGTAAAAGCAATCTGTCAAGAGGGAAAGAAAAACAAAACCGTGTATTTTCACTCTTGGTGTGCAAGGCAGCAAGAGAGGAGTGAGCAAGCTTGTGTTGAGGGATAGGAAGCCAGGATGGTTATTGTTTTGATGGTTTTTTCTTTCCTTCAGTCCCCTCATCTGCCCTTTTGAAGAAGATGGTCATATTTTTCTGTGGAAGAGTAGTTATTTGAAAATCAATGAAATGAAGTCATATGAGTCAGAAGGGTGAAAGCTTTGGTGTTGGAGAGAGAGGGAGGTTTTTAGCCAGATTGCTTAAGGTTAAAAGAAATTAATGTTGCGGTGATTTAACATTTTGCTTTGTGCTGGAAGTAAAAAGGTGATTTAATATTACATTTTAAAAGTGGTTTATTACTCTAAAATTTAAAAGGATAAATGTCCTGCGTACTGAGTGGGTTTTTTTTCTTCTTCAGTTCCATTTACTTAATAAAGTATGAATAGATAAAGCACACGTGGAATCTGAAAGAAACGGTAGTGGCAGATTGCTGTCAGAGGTCAGGACCCTGAAACTCCTGATGAAATGTGGGGTGCACTGCAGATTTTGAGGTTACTGATTTCTGATTTTGAAAGTATATTGTTCATTATTTGTGCCTGTTCTGCTGGGTCACAGTAAACCTGTCTGGTTTTCTTTAAAGGTCAGAGGGATCTCTACTGCCAGTTAATTCTCATTTAGTACTTAGAAAGTCATCACTTCTTTTTTTTTTTTCCCTCTATAGCTTGCCAGGCTGTAGTCATGAAATATGTTTCATTCTCATGCTACAAAATCCTCTTTTTTTAATATGATTTAGTAAAAAATAATTTGTTGGTTAATGACTCTTGAGATTCATGGCAATGCTGATCAGATGACACTGACTCAGATGCTTCCAATCCTTCACTCTTTTCCTTTTGTTCCCTTAAAAGCCGAGCTCTGTATTCTCAAATTTTTACTTTTTTTACCCACTACGCCAAGCCTGAGCCATCTGTGCTCTGTGATCCTCTGTCTCTCTTGCAGTGGTTGGTGGAGGGGGGGAGTGGTAGGAAGGGCGAACTCGTGTGAGAAGGCCCTGTTCAGTTCCCGGCAGAGAGCTCTGGAGGCTGGAATGCCAAGTATGTTCCTTCTCCCTGCTGCCTGACCCTCCACTGCATCCCGCTTCTGCAGGCTGCAGTGCCTCCCAGAAGCAAAAGTCTTCATGGTTTTGTTTCTTGGAATACGCTTTACCCAAGTGGAAGGAAGGGGTCTGTTCTTTGTATCCCTAAGGCGTTGTGTGATGGGAGCAGCCTTCAAGGAACCACCTTAGAGAAGCCAGGGTCAGGTTCCGATCTGCAGTAAAACTAACATGTTCATTGTCAACAGCTCTAGTAATTTGTTTTGCTTTTCTGTGTTTCCCTGTTGCTTTGATCAGAAAGTCTTCTTGAATTCAGTGGATTAATTATGTGAAGACTCAGGATTATTAATTTTATTTTTTGTTTAATCTCACCTACGCAGTTTATACAGATGCATTTTGCAAGTCTGAACACGTAATGAGTTGCTGGTGTAGACTCCTAGTGTGCTGGCTTCAATAGGTAATTACCAGTGGAATACAGGAAAGAGGTTGTCTGATCTTAAAGACCCGTAGCAGAATGGCAGACGAGTTGTAAGAAACAATGCTCCAGCGGGGATCTATGCATCCTGCTTCAGCTCTGTTAAAATGTAAAGGCAACTCCCAAAAGGAAGGTGACTCAGTGAAGGTCAGCGTTGCCAGTGGTCGCTCCCTCCCGTTGTCTCTCTGCATTCCCCCTTCCCAAGGGCGCTGGGTGCCATGGCCGGCCTCAGGCTGCGCGGGCTGGCGGCCTCCAAGCTCTATCAGCGCCGGCAGGATCGGCTGAGTGGCACAGGGTCACTCCTGAGCAACAGGACAGATACAGCAGCTGGGATGCCTGGGTACGTCTCCGAGATGAAGAGAATGGTATCGTTAAAGCATTTTCCAGGATTTAATAGATGTCGGGGTTGGTGATGGGGCTTTTTTGTTTAAAGGAGGAATGAGCTGCGCATGGCCGGAGGGGATGAAGTCTCTTTGTTTTCATTTCCAAGTAGATTACGAAGGAAAGGACTTTCCTGATGAGAAAGCTTTCAGTTTTTAACAATAACAGGAAAGCAACAATGGAGAACCTTTCCTGTTTTGAAGCACTGTAGTAGGCTCTTCAGAACCAACGTTAGTGCTGGTGTGGTTAATGGCATTTAGGCAGTATTGGAAGTATTTAGGCACGGGGGATTAAAGAAGTGGTGGAATGCGGTAATTTTTTAAAATTTTGATAAGATTCTACTGTTCTTTCAGTTTTAGAGCTCAGTAGTCTATTTCTTAATCTATACTAGTAATAGCAAGCTAGTTGATTTTAGTTTTTGCAAAATAACTCCAGTTCAGCAGAACTTCGAATGTAGCTGCATCTTGAGACTATTTAGAACATGTCAACCAAAGCTTCTTAAATCTGCCTGAACACTTCCACTGCTTGATTTGATCATCGCTTATCCTGTGCTTCAGATTAAAATTTTACTTCTCAAGTTTCATTGAGGTTAATTTTGGGCAGGAGAGAAATTACGTTTCTTGCATTTTGGGGCAGCGATGAGCTGCAGCAGCAATATGAGATCTGCAGTTTGTGTCACTGGGGAGAGCAGTGAATATGCAGGAAAGGGGATTTTTTTCTAGAAGTCAGAATTTTTGTATTTCAGTCATTTCTGAGCAGGAGATAGACCTGGTACTTACTTGTACTTGAGCACTTGGTTTGGCTTCTCAGCTTAAGCTGTGGATCCCTCACTAGAACCCTACTTTTCCTGCTCTTTACCTTTTAGCCTTTTACTACACAAAATTGTGGCTGTGAATGTGTGAGAATTTAGTGAGGAAGGAAGGAAGAAGGCAGTGAAAGAAATGGTGATGCCCTTGAATGGAGAGGATGCTGTTCAGGAAGAATGAGCAGAATAGAAGGGACCTGTGAGAGAAAAGAAAATAAGCATTGAAAAAGCAGCAGTGGAACACAAACAAGAGTGTGAACTGAAGATAGGAAGGATCAGCAGATAAGTGCCAGACATAGTCATCTCACATTGTCAAAATGTACTTTGCTTTCAGCTGTTTAACTGTGTTTCACTGTAACCTGTAAAAGCCTTCGAGAAAGGTGAAGGCACAGTATTTTCCTCCCATGATTTCCAATTACTGTTTTTAATATTTTTTGTCAGAGTTTGTAAATGCAACAGGCTTTTCAAACTTTGATTTTTGTCTTTTTAAAAACTACAGTTTAACTTTCTCTTAAGTAGATGTGCTTAATCTGCTGTGCAGAAGGATTGCCCTTTCCTGGGCAGTATAGGCGTGCTTATAGCGCTCAGCGCTACACTAGTATGGCTTTGCAGGAGAACAAAGTTCTCATCTGCCTCCTGCACCAGGTAGATTTCAGGAGCTGGGGCTCGGTGTCTGGAAAACGCTCATCTGTCTGAGACCTCTCTTCTTGAACCTGTGCTATTGAGTGTGCCCTGCGGGGCTGCCGGAGGAGCAGGGCTGCCAGAGCAGTAACCGTTCTCCCAACGTGCTGTGTCAGGCCTGGGCACAGTAGTAAGTCTGGGAAGAGCGGAGTAGGGCGAGCAGCTCGAGCGCAGGTGGGACGACAGGGATGTGGTGCTGGGCAGGAGAATGCTCAGAGGCTGATGCTGCGCTGTGTTGAGGGAAGGAGGCTGTGAATGTATTGCTTGTATGCAGCAAGGCAGAGCATGCTTGAGATTTAATGCTATGCTGGCACGATTTTTAATAAGGCCAGGCGGGTTCAGAGGAAATGACTTTTGTAGCTGGCAGAGTGATTTAGGGGGAAAATGTCTTATCTAGGTATATTGGATGTGTTTTTCACATCGTAATTCTAAAAGCAAAGTAACCGTAAATCCACATATTTTGGCTTTACTCAGCAGATGACAGAAGATCTCTTTGGGAATTTTGAAGATCTCTTTGGGAATTTTGCCTCCTGAATTACTTGCATTTGATCCACAGCTTTTGAGCTGCTGATAGTTCTTGCTTCTCCCTCATGATAGGTCCCAGTAGTTTATGTCCTTCCTTCAGACAAGTGAGAGTAAATCAAAAGTAGTCTTGCTTCTAGTTGATGATAATTGATGAACACATTTGGGAATGATCTGTCCTATCAGTGCTGGTAAACAAGCATCACATTTTACGTCCTTTGAAATAAAGGAAGGGAAGAAGAGGAAGATTAAATGTGTATAAGAAGTTATTTGTCAAATAGACGTTATGAGTGAAGTCGTACGTGCTTGTTAATAAAAGGGTGATTTTCTTTCGTGAAAATAACAATGTTTAAAACTTGTGCATGTCTTTATGTTGTTGATGTTTCCCTGGGCTGAGTGAACACTGCTAGATGTGTGTCTTTCTAAGTAATTGGTCATGATTTACTCGAAATAATTATTGCATTGTATTGAGATTACCAAGTACCTGTGACATAGGATTATTTTTCTGTGCAAACACTGACAGACTTTCATTGCTGCTGCTGATGTTAAAGGTCTACCTGATTGTGGTTTCTGAATACAGGCCACTGTATTCTGTTCTTAGGTGAAACGTGTGAAGGAGTGGATTATTTAAAAAAAAAAAAAAAAAAAATCCTGGCTTGTACTACTAGCAAATTGGTGTTGCTGGTAGGCTGAGGAGAGATGAGGAGCCAAAAAGGGTTTTTTCCATATTGTGACCCTAAGTTGCGTTTGTAGATTTTCTTAATTTTGGTTATCCCTGTGTAGTAAGTAAGGACAAAAAGTGGTTACTTCATTGAGAGATTGGAGGCTACATGGTAGAGGAGGATATGCTGAGAGAAACACTATTAATTTCTTATTTAGCCAGATGAAGAAAAATATTTAAATAGGGAATGAACTGAAAATTCAGTGCAAGCAAAAGGAGAAATGCTGAAAATGTTAACACACATAGTTTTATCAAACGCACAGCAAATCATGCCTTGAACAAATAGGAGTTGGGTTTTTTCCTCCAACATTTTATGACAAGTTTAGGAACAGCCTTAAAGAAGTTAAATCAGTTTGGGAAAGTTTTCCAGATAAAAGTCAGTGGTAGTGACGAGATTTTGAAAGAATGGTAGAGGTAGTTGAGGGCTTTTTTTTTTTCAGCAGAAGTTCATGAACTGTTACCCTTCCTCTTTCTTTTTTCTTTATACTAGTTCTTGACTGTGAAATCAGTCATTAAGTCTAGCATTGTCCTGGCAAATATTTTTTTTCTCTTTGGACTTAAAGCTACAAATCCTCAACCATACTGTGGGGATGCGAAAAAGCCCTGGAGGGCCCTGGTTTTTATCTTAGCTACCAGTATCTCATACCCAAGTGGTGATAGCTTTCTGGGTTTTTGACTTTTCACTGTCTTACATATCTGTGTGTGTGTGTGTACATATTAGAAACCACGTTGTAAATGTTATGTTTTGTTATCTTCTGTATACACTAGTTTGTACTAGTAGACCAGAACGAGCAGAGAATACGTGTACAGGATTCCCTGGCGTGAGGACGGTGCCTCTCTGCTGAGATTTGGACAATGCCCTGGCCTCTTGTGTCTTAAAATGTTGTCTTTCTTTCTTTTTGTGATATCTGTATGGGTTTTGATCATCTCCCTATTAAAGTAATTCTTCATTCAGCAGTATGATGGAGAACTCTCTTTGACAACAAAACCAAAAAGCTTTAGAGAGGAATTAAAGAAAACAGATTTTTTTTTGACTGGGCTTTGCTGACAGAAGTGCTCCTTGCGCCTGCAGTTCCTTTTCCTGTACCTGATAGAGTCTGAGACTTCATCTGTTCCCCTGGTTGTCTAGTTGTCTGCTTCCCTTTGTCTTGCATCCATGTTTAAGATACTGAATTCTGCTAATGTTCTTATGAGAGCTTATGTTCTGCTCTCTTAGCAGTGGAAGTACTGGATTTGGGTTTTTTCCCCCCAGTCTGTAACCATTGCTAGGTCCCTGGGGATAAATGTTTAAAAAAGGAGGTAACAGCATAGAAGCTGTAGCATTTTAGCCAGCTTTCTTGGCATTTAAGTCCAACCCTCTTTTTTTTTTTTTTTTCCTTTTTCTACAGTAATACAGGCCCAATTTCCTGAACCTGTATGATAATATGATATAAAATATGACATTTTTTAACCCGAATGTATATGAATCCACTGCTTTTGGAAATGAGATCGATATTGACTATAGTGATACGGTAAAATGCTTTCAAATCTTTCTGTAGTACCTATCTATATCAGTGGCACAGAACAGGTCTCCCAATTAACTTCCACTTCTTATAAAGAAGGATTTATTTTTTGTTCCAATTTGAGAAGAATGCTGATACTTCATAGTAACTACTTCTGAGAAGTCAAAGCATGAGAAACCCACAGCTGCTTATAGTGATAAATAACTACTTCCTGTACAGTAGGTACTTTGTCAAAGATAATTTGTTAAAGAGGCAGCACGTAATGGTGAAAGATGGAGAAGAGCATTGTTTGAGCACTGTTATTTTTGGGGTTGCACAGGACCGGATAACTTCAGGAAGTTTTAATAGCCTTTCCTGTCTTTGTGTCACCAGCTTATTGTTGAAACAGAGGAAGATTCTGTATCTTACTGAACTGCAAAAAATCAGTGAGCAAACAGAGTACAAGGACTCCGCATTAGGGACTGTCCTTTCTGGGAGAGTTTCAGATGTAAATATCTTACGATTGACACAGCAAATCAAACTTTTGTCGTCACTCTTGGCACCACCATCAAAAGGATGATTTTGATGTTGCTCTTCCTCCTCCCATGCTGCTGGCAGAAGTGTTTTTGCAGCAGTGTGGTAAAGTAAAACATAAAACTATTCTGAACCTTCCAGCCTTGGTTAATTTTAACCCTGATTTGGTTGAATAAATGCTTGGTTTTTTCACAGGGAAGAGGGCACACAGGGTTACGCAGCTGAGGGGGATTGAGTAACTATGGAATATGTGAGAGTACAACTTTCTAATGAATGCAAAGCCATACCTTTAGAGCAGTGCCAAAGTTGTAAATTTTAGCTTGCGTGTAAAGGAATAAAATATCAGTGAAAATAGATGCAAAGTCGTGAATGAAAAGAGAGCAGAAAGGTAAAGCTTGGGCTATGATTGTGAAAGAGCCACGGCTGCTGTTTTCTATTAGAGGAGACAACGTTGCTCAGGAGCTGAGGTGTGATTTAGTTGTCTCCTGTAAGGGTCTCCCCACCAAATTTCAGCTGGGTTATAGTTGAGGTAGAGACTGTGTTATTTTGTGTACAGGTTCTTTTATTTTTTCCTGGCCTGTTAGTTTCTTTCATGTATGAGTAACAAGTCACAAGACGTTAGCTCGTTTGCATTGTGGCATTTCTTGTACAGCTCAGACTGTATCATAATTGTCTTTCATATGCCTTTCAGAAATTTCTTTCAGCATCAACTAAGTTCTTCTATCTCAAATATTTAGAAAAAATTTCTAACAGTTTCAATTTCCAAAGCTTTGAAGTGCTTATTCTGTGCTGTTTTGCAGAATCATTACTGATTTTTCACTGTGTATCACATTCTGTTGTTAAAACAGTTTTGGAATATTTTGAACAAAATTCCGTAGAAGCTAGAACTTTTGCACCATCGTGCATCAGCAGAATGGTAAATAAACTCTTGGGACTCCTGATATTCTCTTGCTTTTGCAACTGAGTGAGGTTAATGAATTTTTTGAGAGAGAAAAGTTGTACTTCATGCTAATGGAAGACAGTGAGAACACAGAGCAGTGCTGTGCTTGACTTCCACTAGGAATTTCAATTTCTCCAGAGATTTTTGTGTTGAAGTTAGTTTTTACTGTGGGATTACTCTGTCCTGACAGTTCTCAAATGCTGATTTCAGAGTGGAGGCTCCTAAAAGCCTTATTCTTATGAGTGAATCCCTATGTCTTCATTATCTTTCTCACCAGCACAGCCATTGCATCTGTGTCATAATCTCTCTCAGGATGACTATATTTGATAGTGAGATTTTTTTAAATGTTGATTTCATGTTTATAAAGCAAAACCCCCAACAAATACAACCTTAGGTCATGTTAGTGTTTAGGGTGTAATCCTTGCTGTTGTGTAGGAAACAGAGAGACTTGCTGGAATGCTGTTTTGCTTCTGTAACCCAGAGGAGCTTTTTCCCTGATGTTGACACGAGGCTTTGCTCATCATGGCTGTTGGCCCACTGAAGTCTTGGGATGGGTTCATCAGATTTTTTCAAGAGGGGAGAAAGTACTCGATAGGGAAATTATATTTTCAAGCCCTGGGACACATTTGCATGATGTAACTAAAAGAGTGGCGGTTGAAAGCTAAGCCGATTAGGTCTCTCAGCTTTGCTGCAAACACCGATGTGTTTGTGTTGACCTATTCCTTTGATACTCTGTCGGGATAAAAATATTTCTTTAACCTATGATCTCAAGTTTATGAAATTACAGGATTTCCTGCTTGTCCGTAATTCCGGTCCATAACTGTTTTTTAGAGCTCCTTTGTACTGCAATAAGGAAACAAGCTGTAACTAATTCCTGCAAAAAAAATGTGTTCTTGAATTTATTACCTGCTTCTTTGGTCCTTGCCACCCTTGGAATCGCAATGGCAGGAAGAAAGTATATTTTTTTACGGAGAGGTTACTCCAGATCACAGAGTAGGATATTTGTAGAGGCTGCAGATGTGGTCCATTTGGCTCAGCTGAAGCACGGGGCTGGTTTTGTTGCCTCAGGAGTGTCTGCTGCCTGCACTGCCGCCGGCTCCTTCGGGTTGTGCTTGGAGCACGAAGCCCTGGAATAGCAACGGTGGCGTATTTTTGTAGGGGTGTCTCTGACCAAACTGTACCTTTTGCTGCTGAAACATGCCTTTTGAATTACGGTTCTCTGTGAAGAGGTGTGGGAAGTAGCATGTTCAGTTTTTAGAATAACACTAACAGTAGAAATTCACTTCAGAGCAGCTTTGAATATAAAAAGAAAGAAACAAATCTTTTCAAGCAAACCATCTGTCATTTTATGTACACGTTATGTGCTTCAGGAAAACTGCTGCACAAATATTTCAAAGATTTTTTAACATGCTGGAATTTCTTTTATAGTCCCATCAATAAAGCTGTTCTCTTTCTAGTCTAGAATTCAGAAGGTGCCCAGAAAGCATAAAATAGTTTTTTCTATATCTAAAAGTGTGACAATATTGAATTTATATATTATTGGTTAGTCTGGTAGTTAAAAGAAAGATCGCATTGCAACAAGAAATGGAGACTCTTTCCTTGTAATTCTTCCCTCCCTGTTGGGACATGAGATGCACTGTTTTAAAACTACATTCTGGTGTATAGAGGACGTATACTACCATGATGGCAAGTGTGAAGATTTTGTGAAAGAGGTTAGGGTCATTCTGCATTTGAAAGGAGATAGCGAAAACACCCTTTATACGATTTCTGAGTGTGGCTTTGGGGGGTTTTTAGCCTCACTTTCTGAGGAAATGAAGCTGGTGTGTTTGCCAAGCCAGCCAGAGAGTCTTCTCTCTTTCCGTACATTTTTAACACTTATGACAATTGCAACTAAAAAACCAGAGGCATTGTATGCAATTATTTTCCACTGAATCTTGCTGGGTAGAGGGGAAAATGCCCTGATAATTCCTACAGGAAGAGGAGACTGCAGTGAGATGCCAGTGCTTTTTTCACATCTCAGAATGCTTGGAGATTCACATCGTGAGACCAGAATTCCCAGGAAGTCAGGATCATTGTGTTTGCTGCTCTTTGAGCTATTGGTTTATTTAAAATTGTGGATATCTGGTATGAGCTATTAGCAGGATGATATGATGGGGTGCAAGACTGGTGAAGCAGTCAAAAGCCTGCAGTAGGTAGGTCTGCTACATGAGCTCATTCTGCCACGCGTGAGTTGCAAGAACATTATTTCTAACTGATGTCAGGGCTGAATTGTCTCATTGGTCTTTTTTTATGTAAAAGGGAGTTTAAGGCAGTGGAAATGTTGTGTTCATAGACACTGGGGAAATTTGGATGACATAATTATACTCACGTGATTAGCTGTGCCATTGCTCATGTTCTTACTCTTGTCTTTATTCCAGTAATATGTCTGATGCTCTCGCGAATGCAGTATGTGAACGCTGCCAGACTCGATTTGATCCTGCAGAGAGGATTGTGAACAGTAACGGGGAGCTCTATCATGAAAACTGCTTTGTCTGTGCTCAGTGTTTTCGTCAGTTCCCAGATGGACTTTTTTATGAGGTGAGGTCTCATGCTGAGTGTAAGTGAAGAGAAATAGCTCCATTAAAATTACAGGAATTGGCAGAAATTCCAGAATTTTGGCAGAAATACAGGTTTCCACCTTTCTTGCATGCTTAGTTTCTTAGCACTAAACCTTCGTTGCAATTTTTTTTAGGGGCTTCCAACTTAATTTTCTTGGTTTTCTTCTCACATACTCCTTCCTATACATCAGTAACAGCAAAAACTGTGTGCTTGCTCTTTGAATGAGAGGAATTTAAAGAAGAAAATAGAAAATATTTCTTAATATATCATTAGACACAAATGAATTTTCGTCTTTATTTTTAGACATTTTGTACAAAACTTCTGATTGGGCAACTGAAATCGGTGAACTCGCTTACAAATGAGGTTGTAATATTTTCACAGAATATGTGTGAGGGGGTGCTAGAACTGGAAAACTTGACTGACCTCGATGTATTGGTCATTTTGCTGGGAGGAGCGTGCTGAGCTGTCAAGCTGTAAGAGCAGTTATTGACAAGGGCTTCTTCTCTCTTGTTTTGTTCACAGTTTGAAGGTCGGAAGTACTGTGAGCATGACTTTCAGATGCTGTTTGCTCCTTGCTGCGGGGAATGTGGTAAGATTTGGTGCCTGCCAACACCGTGGGGTGGCAGCTACAGGCCTGTGCAAACCACCCACAATTGCAGTGGCATCTTGCCCTGGGCTGGGATTGTTGAGGTCATTTTAAGGAGCAGGAGCTCTGGAAGAAGACAAAGCGTGATACCAGCAGTGATCGGGGTGTCCTGATTGTGGGAATAAATAGGGTTTTTTTTCGAAGTCAAGACTGAATACTTCTTGTGGAGTTAAAGGGGAAGGATTATGAAGGGCAGTAGACTTTTGATATGATTGTTTTCTGCACATCTCAAGGTGTTGCTTTCCTTTTACAGGCGAGTTCATTATTGGGCGTGTTATCAAGGCGATGAACAATAACTGGCACCCAGAATGTTTCCGCTGTGAGCTCTGCGATGTAGTACTTGCTGACCTGGGTTTTGTGAAGAATGCTGGCAGGTAAGGTAGTGCGGGATCTCCGAAAGTTTTATTAGTGTGTTAGTGATACAGCAGTGAAATGTTAAGAGTGGTCAGTTAGTTGTACACTGAGAGGTAAAGCTTGAAAAGGTGCAGAAGAAGCTTTAAGGAATAGCTTCTTAGGAGATGGGAAGTGGAATGAAGAACAGCATTCTTCATCCCATGAAACATAAAAAGCAGAAACTCAAGTTTAGTAGCTAGTGGATGGATTACTGAAAAGAAGGGGATTTCAAGCGAAATGCTGAATAGCAAGTGAGAAGAAGGAATTATGTGATCCCGGCCAGGCTGTTTGTCAAGTAAGCTGCTGAGTGGCAAATCAAGACATAGCAAAAGGTCAAGACAATAACTCAAGGAAAGCAAAGCCTGTTTAGCATGTGAATCCCCTGGTCTTTGGAAATCGTTCATTTTATATACAGAAATGTATAAATGAGTTATAAAGGTTGATTAATGCATTTAATTAAGAAGTAAGAAATAAAAACATAAAAAAGACCTTGTACAAAAGCATACCATGCTAAGAAAATAAACAATCCAGCAGTTAGCAGACTATGTTGCACGATTTATAATTAATTTCAGGCTTTCCTACATCTTGAGCAAAGCCTACTAGTTTCCTGGAGTTTATATTCTCACTAACTAAACGGTGAAGAGCAAAAGGAAAGGTTATAGACTTGTACCCTGTCCAGCAGGGAGTCCTCTCAGTTCGCTTTTCTCTTCCATCCTACATGCAACTTCTACGCCTTATTTTCTGGAACTGGGTATAGTTGATTTTCTTTTGACACTTAAACTTGTTAGAATGGGCTGTTGCGATTGCACTTGGAGTGTTTTGGGAATGCAGTCAGAATTGAAGCAGTTTAAGCAAGATAAAGTATGTTTGATTTCATAATTTGTGGACCAAATCTGAAATGGAAAGGAGCTCATTCCCAAAAGCATAGAAAAAGGTTATGTGTGTGTATATCTGTACATAAAAAAGTGTAGTTCACCTGTCATGTGATTTCCTGTAATATTTGTCTCCACAGCACAGAAGCGGTTGGGAACTCCTTGGGTTATTTTTCCTGCTTCTCACTGCACCTGGTATTCTCTAGTCTGCCTGTCATTTCCAGACGTATTCCATTGGATGCAGTTTATATCAGCGAGGGTAGTTAAGAGAATCCCTACTTTGTCAATAGTGAAGGAACAGTCTTGCTAGATAAGTGACCAAAAAAAATTGTAAACATGCTGTCTTTTCCTTGGGCAGATCTGTCTCAGGAACGGATCTCTACTGTTGGCACAATATAAAATTTTAAAGTAGGCTGTATGCATTGTGCAGAGGAAGAGTATTTACTGAATGCTTTGGGAATTAAGTTATTTATTTTTTTTAATGTTCATTTAATACTGTCTTTGCTCCTTTCCCTGTTCCTAAGTGTTCAGTCCTCAGTTTCACATCTTGGAAATCTGTAGAACTGTACTGTTTGCAGTTTCAGTAAGACAAGAACATGTGATCTCTTTTGTCAGGAGCGTTCTTGCTAATTACAGTCCCATAAAAACATCCTCGGGATGAGTTTGACTCTGAGTAGACTATCTCACCGTGTGTTTGTGCTCTCAGCTGATTTTGGTGGAATAGAGCGCTCTTAAGTTGAAACAGCAGCAATAGTTATGTTCACAGTTCAGATTTAGCACTTAGTGAACTTTCGTTTGTCTTACCTTCGAAAGTTTGAGGCAGCGTTACAGTCTTTTTAACGCAAAACAGATTGCACAAAGCCTCACGGAATTTCTCAGCTACAAAAAAATACATAACTGGGTCAAAGGCACCATTTAGACTCGTGAGGCAGGAAGTGATGCGGTTACTGAGGGCTAGAATACGCTGTGTTTCACAAGAAGTTTTGGTCCCGTTGTAGTGGAGAATATAAATGTAGCGATTGACATGATAAGGTACAAAGCAAATGAGAAAGATGATCAGGACCATGATGATCATTTTGATTGCTTTTTCCTTCAGGTGTTTCTCGACTCTGGTGCCACTCTTGAGGCTACGGATGATTAGTAGGTAGCAAGTCACTGTAGTAACGAACGGGAAGGTGAATGCCACCGCTAAGGACACGAGGGCGTGGCGTGAGGCCTTTTCTCTGTAGAGCTGCAGGCACACGGTTGTGTTTTTCATCTCGACTGTCTGCACACTGAGCAGCAGGGGGGCCATCGCAACCCCAACTATAACCCATAGGAAGGCACATGCCAAATGGGCGTAAAGGGACCTGCGGAGCTTGATGGACTTCACAGGGTGCACGATGGCAAGGAAACGGTCAATGCTGATACACATGAGGAAGTAGATACTGGCGTACATGTTGAGGTAAAAAAGGAAGCCGGTGAGTCTGCATGGGATCTCACCAAACGGCCAGTGATTACCCGAAAAATGGTACACCAGCCGGGTGGGAAGTACCAGCACAAAGGACAGGTCAGCCACAGCAAGATGCATCAGGAAAATATTGGCAGGTGTGCCTGACTTTTGGTCCCGGATGAAGAGCCAAAGAGCCAGGGCATTGCCAACAAAAGCCAGGATGAAGTCCAGGAAGTAGAAAGTGGCAAAAAGAATGTTCTCGAGGTGTGTCTCTTTACCGCATTGCTCTGAGGTTTCCAAAGAGAAACTTGATTGATTTGAGCAGTTCAAAAGTAGGCTTGAGGAATCTGCTGGGCCATTCATTTCTCACAGTTTTGAAGGAAGATGACCCAAAAACCTGAAAGAATTGAGACAGTATATTACAAAAGAGACTGGGTTTATAAAAGAAAAAAAAAAAAGCCCACAACACAAAAATCCACTGATAAAAAAACCCCATGGACATCAGCGATGTCTCTTGTTTGCTAGTGTTGGTATTTGATACAACGTATCAGTCTCAGTTTTAACCCTTATATTATAATTCTGAATACGTCCTGCTCAGCTGGGTTTTCCAGACTGTTAATTCCTGTTGAAGGAAGCCCCATGAAGAGCTGGCTAGCTGATTATGAGCTTGTCCCCAACCTGTGCTGAGATCCGTTGAATAAAAGTCACGAAATGCCTATGTGTCTAGTGAATGGAAGAGTGGAAGTGGGTTCTGTATGTCTGGGTAGAAAGTATTTGCTATGTTTAATTTGAAAGCCTCATTCAAAACTGAAGAGCCAGAACTCTTTGAGTCAGCTTTTCTGAGCACAGGTATCTGTTGTAGGGTGACCTAGCTTAGAATATCTGTCTTGTTCCTAGAAGGGAGGAAAGACAGGTCTGGTATTGCCATTACTAAAAAAAAAATTGCAAGGTCCCTGAAAATCTTAGAGAATTATTTTAGTCTAAAATCATCTAGTTCCAATATAGGAGGAAGCTTTTCAGATGGGTAGCAGCGTTTTATTTGAACAGTGAAAAGCACTGAATTGACTCAAAAAAGATTATTTGTTGTGCCCATGCTGTCGGTTACTTGTCAAAGTAATGCAACTTTTTTCTTCTCCCAGCATAACTCTCTTCCTCCCTCCAAAGCCTGAACTCTGCTGTGGCTTATCTAGAGCCTTTTCCAAGTAGCAAAGAAAACTGAGCTTAGCTTTGCCAGTCTCTGTTGTCTTTCTGCAGGATCCTGAACGGCATCAACAAAAAATGAGAAGATTTTCTGGGCATCTACCTCTGTCTCATCTGTGGGTGTGTGTGGCAGGGAGATGCAGGCAGTCTGAATTTCCAATTTATTCCTTGGGTTCCTCAGAGATGTTACAGTATGTGCAGCAGTACCTCCCTTGTGCTCACCCCTGCATTTTGTACTGACTGACCGTTTCTCCGTAACACTTAGTATATCTTTAAATACATCTATTTTCCTCTACTGAAATTACAATTTTAAGATGGTTGCTGATGTTCTTAGGCCAAATTTTTAGTCTCAGGTGGATGCTATGCTGTGTGCTGAAGTCTTACATCATTAGACAGTTGATCCAAGGCATTACACAATCCATCCAGCATTGCAATAGAACTGATTATTATTGGTGGAACTGATTTATATTATTGGTGGCTAAGAAAGTGAAATGAGATTAAGAACAGACCAATGTATTGGAAAAGGTAAACAAAATTCCAGGGTAACTACCATCTTTTGCTTGGCTGCTGTCACTTTCAAGTGGACAGAAAACTGCAAGCCCTAGAGATTAATATGCTGGACTGTTTCTGTTCAGCTCACAGTTGAAGAGACAAAAGTCAACAGAAGGGAGACTGAATGAAATTCAGAAACTGAAATTTCTTCACTTGGCCGCAGTGGGGCCTTCTCACTCCATGCGTTGCCTGAATACCCTGCACATGTATGGCACAAAAAGAAGACTTGGGGCTTGAGTGTACGGGTCTGCGCTGCCTGTTGTCAGCTTCTTTCTAGTCCTAGAGACGGCAACAAAATTAATATCCTGAAATTACTAGATGTGTGTGTGCAAGGAGAACTGTACCACCCTTTCTTCCAAGGGACATTTTATCTGTACAAATACAAGTGAAATCTTGTTTTCGTGTGCAAAAGGAAAATTCCTTGTTCTGGTTTTCCTTGTGAATTTCCTGAATTTGCAGAGGAGCCCGCAATTTTTCTTTACAGTGTTTATCTGTCCCTTACGAAGTAAAACCGTGCAACTGCTATTGAACACAAGATTCTGATGTTGGTATGTGATGGTAATGTTGAATGCTCAAATAGTTGTCTTCTGTGGTTGGAATTAGTTTAAGTATGTATTTTTCTGTTACATGCCAAAGGAGAAATACGATGAAACCATGCCTTTTTAGTGGCTGTTAATTTACACTCATACCTATCACCTGATGTTCTGGCTACGCAGCCTTTTCTTGTGTCAGGCACTTTGCTTAAATATGCTTTTCATCTACAGCAAGTGTGATCAGGTGATCTTTATATACACACCTGTCAGTGACTGGGTGGTCTGATGGCTCAGCGTTACTCTCTACGTGGTTGTGACACCACTGAGAAGGGAGTAAGTGCTGGCTTGGGGCAACTGAAAAGGCAGAAGCAAAGGTTGTCTCATGGAACAGGCAGGGACATCGCATGTCTTAATGATTTAAATCAGGAAGCGAAGCAATAAGCAGGCTTTTTCCTTGTTTACAAGCTAAACGTTAAGGGTTTAGCAGCATAATACGTTGAACTGATGCTGTTTGAGCTATTTCCTAAGGAGGATCTTTGGGATTGACTGAAAAGTCAGGAGTTTTGTCCTCACTGATGGCAGTGTTGAGTCTGCCATGGATTTCTATCTGGATATGCTTTCTCTGCAAAATACTGTGTGGTGGAATAGAAAGGAAAATACCAGAGCAATCTAGAAGCCCAGTGTGTCAGTGTCAGGAAGGGAGAGGCTTAGAACTAATGATAAAATCGAAATAGATTCAGTCTTTTCAAATGAGTGCCTTCCTAGGAGAGCTGCTGTTAGCCAATTTGCTTTTTAGAGCAAGGTGAAGGGAGGTATTTCTCATTGCCTGGTCAGAAATCATAGAACATGGAAGTGGGCCTCTTTCTAATTTTGCTTAGGTTTTAACTTGGAAGGGAATTTTATTGAGGTTTTAAATTTTTTTTTCAATTCTTTTTGTTGACTTGAAAATTGTGGTGTAGCACCTGAGTGGGTAGGAAAAAAGCTGACATGTCCCTAGAATGAGTTGTTGAGCTTATTTTTAGAATTAATATGTTTTCAGCAAAATGCTACAGCTTTACAAAAGTTGTAGTTCTTTGATGGTGTTCTGTAGATGGTGTGGAAAGCTCTTTGCTGTTATTTACAGTTCCATTTCTATTTTGCCTAGTTTTCCTATCAATTTTAAAATAAATGCTGTTAATTTTTAGGTTTTTCTTTCTTTTTGGTTTGTAACACTTATAAAAAAGCACTCAGAGCCGTGGAAAACTTCATGTACTAGTCTGTCTGAATGCTCAGAGCAAGCTAGAAACCTTCCCAAATGACCTAGAACGCGTAGTTTGTGTGAAGCTATATGATGCAAGAGGCTTTGACTCCACAGACAGAAAACTCCTTTCGGAATCTGGCTCATGACCCAATAATTTCCGCTTGGGTTGCACTTTTGGTGTTGTGAGAATATTTAGTGATTTATGTATTGCTAAACAGAGCACTATTCTGGAATAAGCCATTATCCCAGGCCTCCCATGGCTGAGCTCTAATGGGGATGTCACTGCTCATTTGAAATGCGGGCACACTGACCGTATTTTATGCCCCGTTTCTCTTCTGCACAGAAACAAGCACGGTAACAATGCACGAGGCTGTCAGTGTAGACACAACCTGATTATTCTCTCAGCAGATGCTCTATCTGCCATTAATGAAACGGTTAATTGGCAGAAGAAATATCTGGCTCATCCTAAGTTAGCTACCTGACTCGTCTGGAGCTTTTGGTATAAAGCCCACTGCAGATAAATTTGAACTATATGTTGTGGTTTGCAGTAGATATCAGAAATTCCTTCCTGTTCTTGCTCTCAGCTAGAGAAGTTTCTGATTTGGGATTATGTTAATTTGTGTATTTTCATGATTGCATGTCTTGTCAAATGGGAATGTCACATGTCTTTCACAGAAAGTGTTCTTCATTAGAAATAGTCCACTTCTTACTGAAATTATTCTTCTGAAAATCACTCCCCGCTGAGCCTCCCACTCTTCAGCTGAAATACTTGCTTCTTGTGAGCACCAAGGCAGTGTCAGAGAGCACTGGACATACAACTGTCAGATTTCCTGGCACAACTGAATGTACATTAGGTACAGAAGTTTGAAAACTTCTATGTTTTGGAGGAGTGGTGTAAGGAAGAGTGAGGAAATTATTCTTTGACATTCAAAAATGCTTCTTCGTTTCAAACATTTTCATTATATTCATCTGCCTCTAGGTGTGTCTTTCCACCTTGCTGACACCGGGTAAAACTAACGCCATTAGGAAAGCTCCTTCGTTATTCCCCTAACAGAAGTTTGTCTCTTACCTCTTTACAGTGCAGTCCCGTGGGTAGAGTATAGGGTCCTTTGAGGGAAGACCACAAGGAACTCCTGAGCAGCGAACCAAATAGGAGCAGCAACGGTGAAAACAACGAGGCGATCCAAAAAGAGCACGCAGTTGCAGAGTGGCTGAGGGTGGAGAGGGGAGCCCCTCTATATAGTGTCCTTCTAGCTCTGATAGTGCATTATCAGCTCAGTCACACAACAGAGCAGGGGAGAGGACACCCCAGCGCTGAAGAGCGATCTTCATCCCAGCTGAGCTCTTGGCACTGGCGCTGCTGCTGCCGTTATAGATATGACTCTTGTATGAATATTCCAGTGTCTGTGGTGCTTACTAAAGGCTGCTACTGAACTCCCAGCCGTGAACACAGGCTCCTTGGAGTCCTCTGATTATTTTAGGAGGGTGGAGAGAAGCATTGTTTGGGGGCAGTCTGGTATTAATAGACACAACAGGACATTTCAGAATGGGATAATTCCATAATGGTGGGAGCGGGGAGGGAGAGAGGGAGCGGGGCGGCTGCTATGGTAACAGCTTAGCCTGTCCAACACTTCCCTTTGCTTGCAATAGAGGAGGGTCTATGGGACCGCAGAGAGCATTTGGGAGTGGGGAGGGGTTGATAATGGTTTATCAGTGCGAATGGCTGAAGGCATCTTATTCAGCTGAATGAGAGGGGTCTCTTTCAGGACACTTGCTTCAGGGTCCCTATGTCCTGCCCCGTATAATTACTCTGCATTTGACAGTGCCGAATAAAATTGATGCCTTTATGCTGAGATGAGCACAGCTGCATGTTTCCTTATAATGGGGTGCTGTCTGCTTATTCTGGACTCCGTCTGGGCAGACGGTAGTTCCAGCCCTGGAAAGAGACACTTGCTGACAGGAGGACTCAGATTTGGAGAGAATAATAATGATACTTAGCACTTAGACAGGCGCCTGCCAGCTGAGGGTCATAAATGTTTGAGGTCGCACAACAACATCTGTGTTGTATTCTTATCCCCATTTTACAGATCTAAGGGTAAGTGATTCATCACAGCAGAATTTTGGAAGGGAGCCTGCAAAGAACGTACTACTTCAACCATAAATCTACCCTTTCCATTTGAACTTTTCCTTTTGTCTGGTGTCTTTTGAGAAGGACCCGTAAATCTCAGCGAGTGTTTTGCATAGTGATACAGTGAAAGGAATTAAGGAGGCTTGTACGTTTTGTGACAAAGAAACCCACAGAAATCATTCCTCTGTCATTTTTGTTTTATCATAATTTCTTCTCAGCCTGCAGCATTGCAGCTAGAGGGGAAGGTAATAGGCAAGTAAACTCAAAGAGTTTCTCCTCAGAGCTCCTACGTATTGCAGTAAAACTGGTGGATTCCATCAGCCTTTACAAAATTTTTTTATGCCTTTGCTCAGGCTTTTCTACCACAGATTTGGCTGGTCTACCTGTTCAGGACTGTACTTGTAATATGTTCTAGAACATGTGATAGGTACCCAGTTACATTTACTACATAAAACTGTAAAATCTCATAGTTCTTTATTTTCTTTAACTTAGGACTAAAAGGAATTTATAGGCAGAAGAGCTAGTCTTCAATGGCCTCTTGTTCGTCCTAGCTATTGACAGCTAAGGAATCCAGCCATGGTAAAGGCATTGAAACAATGTGCTTTGGTTTAATACCTTTTATTCTGTCTCCTCAACTCTCTGCCAGTGCTGTAATGCCCTTGTTATGACTGGATCCTGTAGTCAGCAATAGAGAGAGGATGTTGTCACCTTTCATTGCCCCCATCTCTAAAAGGATCTAGAAGAACTGGAAAGAATACCTGGAAGAATGGCAGAGTGATATCCCTGATGATTCCCTCGGTGAACGTTGGAGGAGTATTCTAAGGAAATACAACTCCATGACTGCTCTATCCACATATTCTTGTCTGTGCAACTGGTGTGAAAGGCAGGATACTAAACTCAGTTATGTTTAGTCTGAGCTCAGATGACACTTCTGTTACATAAAGTACATCCCACAGCATGCACTACACATTATTTTAGAAGAAAGAATTTCTTAATATTTTCTTCTCTTTACTTCTCTTTACCAGGCATCTGTGTAGGCCGTGCCATAACCGTGAAAAAGCTAAGGGACTGGGCAAGTACATCTGTCAGAAGTGCCACTTGATAATTGATGAGCAACCTCTGATGTTTAGGAACGATTCCTACCATCCGGATCACTTCAACTGCACCCACTGTGGGTATGTTCTCATATTCTAAATTCTTACAAGAAAGGAGAAGGACAAACAGTACAGTCACCAGTGCAGTTCTTTCCAAGGCCTAAGCTTCGCTGCCTTCACATTGTTGAACAAACAGAAATGGTGTGAGGAGAAATTAAAAGATATTTGGAAAGCCTATGGGAACTTTAGTTTTATTTTGTCATTCAATGTTATTTTATCCTAAACTTGAATGACGCTAATTTATACTGAAAATTAAAATAGTTCCTTGGTATGAGCTTACCTGCAAGGCTGTGTGCAGAATACCCTAATAGTGGTGTTCCAAGATAGCTGTTACCAAGCTATTTAAAGTAGTTTCACTTTGCATTCCTGGATAGCCAAAAAAAAAAAAAAAGATGAGTTGATGAGTTGTCTCAAGCTTTTGGCAGAGTCCGTTACTGTGCTGATCCCTGTCTGACCTGAATTACTTACTGTGAAGGTGGTCTAAGTGGAGCACAGTGCTGAAGAATAAAGTAAATGGCTCAGGGCTGAGCATTACTAGGATGGTCCTTGTACCTGAGCTGTCTCATTCAAAGGTATCTTGAGTTTTTGCCTGACACTGCTCTCTTCCATGTAAGTGCATCTCATGTTTCTGCCAGAGTGTCTGGCCAAAGACATGATACTTCCTCTATGATCCTTTGTCTGGCAAACTGAGGAAGCAATTTTAGGAAGGTGAATTGAAAGTAACTACCTTAATTTCAGGACTCTGCCTTTGTAGCGTGAGTGTTGTGAATGTTGCAGAAGTATGATAACTTTCAAGTTTAGTCTTCCAGACCTTCATCTTGGGCTCTAAAGAGCTTGCTCGGTGCACTTAGCTTCAGCAACGTGTTTGTGTTTTCAGGAAGGAGCTGACTGCTGAGGCCCGGGAGCTGAAGGGAGAGCTGTATTGCCTGCCCTGCCACGACAAGATGGGAATCCCCATCTGCGGAGCCTGTCGCAGGCCCATTGAGGGACGAGTGGTCAATGCTCTGGGGAAGCAGTGGCATGTTGAGGTGAGGCCTCTCTGAACCTGAAACTTCCTTTGGGAGCCGTGTGGGGAGAGGAGTAGTGCGAGCTGGAAGCTGTGGATATTCACGTGATCTGTAATACATGAATTCAGACAAAAAGTAATTGCTTGTGTTTCAGATAGTCTTCGCCTTATGGAAGTGAATGAGTGCAGCAGCGTCATCAAGGTTGTCTGCGAAAGCTAGGCTCTCACGGCAGTCATAACCTGAAGTGTAAAATGTCTGAATTGCATCGTAATGATTCTTGCAGAATATGATTCACTGAACAGCATTTACTTACTAATGAATTTATATTTTTACTATGATCCCAGTTAACAGGTTCCTAACAGTGTTAGAATTTGTAAATAGGCAGAGCCAGTGCAATTCTTACTTCTTAAGCCTTCTCAACTCATTGTTTCCATAAGTTTCCACTGAGTCATCACAGCTTGCTCTGAAGCTTTTTAGTGATTGATGTTTTTAGTGATTTAAGCATCCTAGGGCTTGAACTGAGAGAGATGCTGCTGCTTTTTGAAGTGCTTTCATACCAACCATGTTTTATATTCCTGTTTCTCTTCTCTGAAACAAGCAAGATAACAGTCTGCAAATCCATCAGGATAGACACAGAACAATTGCCTTTTCAACAGTTCTTCTGCCTATCTTCAATACAATTCTTAATTAATCTAGAAGACTAAATATTTCCTCTTTTCTTTTACTTCCATAAATATTTTCCTGTCTCTGAGTTTCTTTAAAGCATTAAGAGGTAACAGTTTTAAACTTTTTTTAAAAAACTTTTTTTTAAAAAAACCTTTTTTTAAACAGTTTTATACCATTAAACGGTTTTTCCCCTCCCTGGGAAGTGTCCAAGGCCAGGTTGGATGGGACTTGGAGCAACTTGACCTGGTGGGAGGTGTCCCTGCCCATGGCTGGGGAATTGGAACGAGATGATCTGTAAGGTCCCTTCCAACCCAAACCACTCCATGATTCTGTAATTAAATGTCTGATACCGAGCTGTGATTTGTAGCTGTGCAGGTTTTACCCTGGGGATGGAAAAGTCACTTTGCCTGTCATTGAATGTCTTTTTTAATTTTACAGCATTTTGTTTGTGCCAAATGTGAGAAGCCGTTTTTGGGGCATCGACATTATGAGAAAAAAGGACTGGCGTATTGCGAAACTCACTATAATCAGGTAAATTCTATCATCTGTACTCTAGGTATTTGCTCTGACTGGCAAATGCTTTGTTCATTTTACATATGCAAAGCTCTGCAGATTTTGCATAATCTGAACTTTTAGAGGCAATGCAATATGAAGAGATTAGTGAGATTTAACAGAAAAAAAATAGTTTTTCTTGGTAGATGTGAAAAGAGATGCTTAGAACAGAATAGAAATATCTTGAGGATATTGATTTTTCATACTGACTGTGGGCTGTGATGAAAATTGCTGTAATTGTGCTCCAAAACTATTTGTGTGGACTACTTTGATAATTACTTGCTTCCATTGTCTAACACAAATGTTGTGCTGTCTAAAGCATAATAAAAGTGTGCTTCAAAAGCTGTTCAAAGTGTATTTTTTCTGTATAACTACTGAACAGCAATAAGTTTGGTATTTTCTTCTACCACATAAATTAATCTCTCTCTTCAGAGTTAAGTGTTACTGTTCAAAGTAGCTCTAGGTTTTGTTTTGATGTTTATAGTTAAGCATCAGGAGATGTTTGTTTAGAGAAAGCATCATACTCTACCAGTCCTTTTTTCTCCAAATTGCCGCATGTACAGGACTTTAAAATCGTATAATAGAGGTAGAGTGTGAGGCATCAACAAAAAGGGTTTTGTAATATGTAGTGGTATGAGAACCAAAGGAACATAGACTGCTTGGCAAGTGTATGAGAAGTTATTCAGAAGATATAAATTGGTATATTTGGGGCTGCTGCGATGTCTCGAACTCTTTGATTGTTAGAATTTAATGTTCGCACCAGCTGTGTAATTTGGGGAGCATGAGTAGTCAGTAACATGAGTTCCTGTTCTTATTTCTTTTGCTGTGCAGCTCTTTGGAGATGTCTGCTACAACTGCAGCCACGTGATAGAAGGAGATGGTAAGATTTGTTCTCTCCTCCTTTTGGGTTGCTGTCCTTGTTACATTTGTTAGTGCAGCTGTTGCAGTCGCACAGTTGCAAGGCGCCAGTGTGTCTTTTCACATCTGGCCTCATTTGAATTTGGATACAAATCTGAATTCAGATAATCTATCAGTTGCCTCTTATTTTGTGCTTTTGCTTTTGCAGTGGTATCAGCTCTTAACAAAGCCTGGTGTGTGAATTGCTTCTCCTGCTCCACCTGCAACATCAAGCTCACACTGAAGTAAGTCAGTGTTTATGTTGTGGACCATATGGGACGTTTGTCCCTAAGGCAGGGTATCAGCCTGGGGCAGCCGTGGACCAGTGCCTGTCTAAGGGGCAATATACCTTGTCTCTGTAGGAGCAGGTGCTTATAATTCTACTGATTTCAGAACTCAAAGGGAGCAGAGATTCAGCATCCTCTCTGATTTACTTTCCTTCGTTAATCTGTTGGGTAAGAAGAGAACTCATTCAGCAGTACAGAGGGAAGGCTCTAAACTTCCAGTAACTACCTGTCCTGAAATACCTGCAGCCTCCACGTCTCCCTCAATGCTCCCCTCAATTACAGTATTTGCCATCGCATAGATTGTTTTCCAAGAAAATATTATGCTAGTTAGAAAATATTATTGCTAGTCCTTCTGATGTGTAGAAGACAAAGAGAAAACAGAGCAATCCTACACATTTTTCCTTTCTCAGGTTCAAACCCTTATCCTACTATGCTGTGTTGGCCCCACTGGCCTTGCATGAGAAGGAACACTTAATTCCTCACAAAGAGGATCTTTGAAGTGATGCTTCGTTTTATGACCACATTATTATTCTAGACTGTTGAATTCAAATATGTAGCAAAATCTTGCTCCTTATTTGACTAGCAGTAATGAAGACCCTATTTCCCAGATAAGAACCCAATCTCTGTACTCACTTGACCAGATGAGGAAGTGAATTGTTTTATAGATGCAGCACAACACAAACAACAGCACTTACATAGATGCGCGGAGACTTGATTTAGTGAAGCACAGAGTTTGCAAATGCCATTTTCATAACTTGCTGTTCTTTGTGTTATAGGAATAAGTTTGTGGAGTTTGACATGAAGCCTGTTTGCAAGAAGTGCTATGAGAAATTCCCTCTGGAGCTGAAGAAACGCCTGAAGAAGTTGTCAGAGCTGGCATCCAAGAAGGCACATCCCAAAGCTCTGGATTTAAACTCTGCTTAAACAGGTCTGTCAGTCTACTGACTGCACTCTTAGAGTCACAAGCTGCTGCTCACAGCAGCTGTTGATTACAGAGGCAATCACTAAGAACAAGTGAAACCAAAGATAAGTAATACCTTCCCCTGCTTCTGATAACGTAGTTTGCATCTTGACTATCGTATTTCTCAAGAAATTGTCTATTAACACTGGCAGAAAGAGGAATATGATTTCTGCTGGAGCAGTTTACAGGCTGGTTATTTGCTAGTAACAACTTACTCTGCCTTTGTGGAATTGGACACAGTCTTCCCTTCCTTAGTTGAACTCTATCTCTCTCTCTATTCCTCTATAGTCTAAGGAATTCAGAAACAGTGGTTTGAGTGTAGGGCTGGAAGAAATGCAGGATTTGCTCTTTTTCAGTAAAAGTATAAAAATTTATCTTAGTCTGGGTGAAGACTTTAATTTTTTTATATGTAGGCAAATATTCTGAAAGCTGTCGCTCTTTCCTACATGCACATTGTTCTGGTTTTTCTCTACATTCCTACTGAACATATATGGGTGCTGTACAGTCCTTCTGGTTTGCAGGTTTACTGGAAAAGCCCCGAAAGCAGTGGTTATGGCGTCTGCACTGACAGCTTGTCTGGCTTAGGTCCAGTGTTAAGACAGCTGAAGAAGTTTGCTTTTCTGTTTCATTGTTCAACACTAAGGAGATTTCAGTTGTCAAGGCCACGTCAGCCTCTTCAGAATAGTTGGGCTCTCCTTAAGGAGGAGGTGGCTATGGGAGACAAAAGATTTCGTTAGATACTGACACTGTAATTTTCTCAGTTTGTTCTCTACTACATCGTGGGTACTAGAGCTTCTAGTGGCCAACACAAAGCTGACAATTCTTGAGGCAATATGGCTGGAGCCTTGATTATTCTTCAGAAATCAAATTGATAATGTGGTACCAATTTAAGCACTTCAGTTTCCCCATGCTTCTCACTGTACGTGACAGGTGAGTACACGCTTGTTGGTCACACTCCCAAAAGCCCAATTACATCACATGGTTTCCAATATTTAGAGTTAGAAGCAATTGTGGCCTTATGCAGAAGAACTCACAGAAGTGCTTTTCTTAAAGTTTTCACCCAGCTAAGAGTTTGCCATCACCTTTCTTCTTAAGACCTGAGTGTACTTAAAGAAGGGACCTCAGACATGAATCTGTACATGTTAAGTGTATAGTTCTGCTCTGTAGTTTTGCCTGTCACTGATGAACTTTCACTGGTCTTACTGTCTCTGCTAGTACAACCAAAGGTGCTAAGAAATTTACTGGTTTTGAACATTCTTAATATTTCTTTAGGGCAGTGCTGTTAGTGGTGCTCTTTCTGAGTCCACCTGTGTTTTGTGTAACCACAGTGAGCTTCTGAGACCTCTGGAGGTGTCTCGCAGTTTCTCAGGCTGAACTAAGCTGAGTAGCCTGAAAATCCCTTCCCGTGAATAGTTGGAGACTGCGCCTGCCCTTTTATGAGGTTAACAGCATGAAAGGCGCTGGAGAACTGCTGCCCCTTGCATGATTTAAATCTTCCCAAACCTGCTAGTTTAGCAGGCCAAATAAACACAGCAGTTGGGCCTGGGCACCACCCTGCAGTCCTGGGTGATACCACACCAGTGGTGGGAAGTGCTGGTTAACCGTGTGCAGATAAGAATCCCATGTGCCAGTCCATCTCTTAGATACTCACTGGTTTTGCTGATTCAATTTCCTTCAGCTGCTTTGATTTTTGTTGCCCTAAGTTACCATAAACTTTTATCTGGGATATACTGCATCCCCTAGAACACTGGTGAGGGTATCGGCCTATTTTTAACAGTAGAACTCTTCCATCCTCTTCTAACCAATATGCCCTGTAGGTGACAGTAATAGTAGATGTTTTCATCACTGCTTTAGGAGAACACGTGGCTCATCACTTTTCTCTCACCAGCCTTTAAATGGTCTTTTTAGTTACTGGCACAAAGAGCAGCACTTTCAGGTTCAGCAATGGAAAATGCATGTATGTGGAGGTGAGTGGAATTACTTTTTGTACTGCAAATTGAGATGTAGTGTGTGCTCTCACTTTGTCTCATGTCAGCAAATCAATAGACCTAGTAAGCTTCAGTGTTCAAAGGACAGTTGATACCATTCTCTTTGATGAGATGTTCAGCTATCTAGGATTTGGATTATGTCTTTATCTTCAGAGCATTTCCCAAAATTAATGGGGAAAAAACCATCATAATCCCCAATTTCTGTATTAGCGGAGGGTGATGTTCTCTTAGTATCTCTTAAATTATTAAGTTTTCACAATTATTTGTCTTATTCTCTTGCTGTCCGTAGCTTGCCATGTGCAGAGTTACAGTAGTGAATATTACTGTTACACCTTTTGTGGGACAGTGGAGTTGAAGGAGGAGAAATAACTATAAATGGTTTAAACAAATGCATCTTCCTCTAATTCTTTGAGTCCACTTTTAAAAAGCTAAGTAGAATGTAATGCAGATAAATGTATTCTCATTCGTGTGTTGATAGGCTGACAGGTTGGGGGTTTTTATGTTGTTGTTTTTTAATAATGTCAAGGTCTCAGAAATAAGCTGCATGCTTTTTTCCATTGCTGTTAACAGACATTCCGGCCAAATTCATCCTAGATGTTACACCACTGAAGAGTATAGAATTATATCAAGGTTGAACTTGGCTCAGGAGTCTACACTGACTAAAAGCTGTTGTCTCATTATATACATTTATAGTTTACATTTGTATTTATACATACTGAATAAAAATCACTAATATTCACTGAGTACACTTGAAAAAGGTTTTGCTTTTAGAAACCACAGTATGTGAAGCTTTTTGTGTTCAAAGCGTAAGTTAATCACTTGTGATCTTTCTTTATGGCAGCCTGATCTGCTCTCTTGGTTTGCATCCTGGTCTTTATTTTAACAGCAGTCTGCACAACGTAGGCAAATATTGTTTGACCTTCTGTGTACAGTGTTTCTAGATGACGCGTGTTTTGTATTAGGTGATAGGACTGACACTTTTTTTAAAGTGGTTGAACGGTGAAGGAATAGATTGTAGACAAACATGCAATAAAAGCAGTTGTACTAGTCTGTAAGGCACTATTAAGTGCTGAGGGTGGTATAGACTGAGTAAAAGAATTAGCAGTTACTTGCCTTAGTTCTGGCCCTGATGAGCAGTGTGGATTCTGCACCATGTGGAGCTCTCATTTTATCACACGTTGCTTGTGCTGTCTAACCAAAACATGTAATTGTGGATTGAAATGCTGTAATACTGTACCTTTTTATGTTCCCGTAATAAAGTTAACTATGCTACATTTTAAATCTTCACACAAACGTAAAAAGTTGTATATTGTATGGCTGATAAAATAATTACATCTGCAGTGCTGAACCAGAGAGCATTACATGATCTGAGGAACTCTGGGGACTGCCCAAATCTGATGCACTGTTGTGGTGAATTCACATTTTGGATCTGTGCTGCTTTGGTGGTGATGTGTTGGTTGATGAGGGTGTGCACAAAGGGATATCATCCTTTTAGAGGCTGTGCTACGCAAATTGTGTGTATGACGAGTAGATGGGATGCTGTGATTATTTACAAGTTGTAGTGGATGTTTGGTACGTTTAGGTTACATAGATCTAGAGTGAATATTGAATTTTCTTGTTAAAAAAACCATCGTGGTTGATTTTTTTAGGTTTTTATTTAAAAACAAGAAACAATACAGTTTGGCTGCAAAATCTCTTTTTGTATAGGTGATGTATTGAATGCTTCTCAGTTACAGCCAGTTAGATCAGACATAGGAGGACAGAACAACTCAAAGTCATTAGTCTCAAACATTTCCATTGCCAGCAATGGATGTTACAGCAGGAACATCTAATTGCATGGAAGAGGATCGACTATTCTGACAAGTGTGGCACTCATTTGGATGCACAGAGAGAGTGGGGCTCTTCCCTGCCACCCATGTACAAAACTCCCATTAGCGTTTGGATTTCACACACACACAGATCTGAGGGAACAAGAGAACCATTGTGCATACATTGGCAAATTTGAGAGATCTAGCAGAGCTGCTTCTCCAGCACTGCCAGATCGTGTCTCAAGGAACTTGGTGTGAATGCTTTAAGACATGACCCTGTTTCACTGTGAGCAAGGGAAGGCTCGTCACCAAGGAAGGGGTACTTGTTCTCTGATGGGGTAAACTTCTAAGCTTACTGCCACTACCATGCGTATGTGCTTTACACACTCGGAGCACACTATGGTTCCTGTAGGACTAAAGCTGTGCGTTTACAAGGGTCTGAGAGATGAACAAGTGCGGAATCAAATTCTACCACTCAAAGTGCCTGCTAGACAGGAAATAGGAAAGATCAGGAGAAATTAAAGCTATTATTCTTTTCTCATGAACGAATGTCTGCATAACTCCAAGCTGAGAACATTTTTGTAGAGCAGAAGAGTCTCTTTTCAATAGATGTCTGTTAGACTGAGTTCTTCAATTCTGATTTGCACTGAATAGCACATCTGTAACTTGAAATAGGAGTAAAAGTAATGGACTCAAAATCCAGCTTCGTTTCAGAGTTTGTTTATGCTTACTAGAAACTGCATAGCAGAAAGCAGTTGTTACTTTCCAAGTGCATTATAAAATGAGGAGGCAAGAAAACTACTTTGTTTAACCAAGGCAGTGGTAAATGAGTGCACAGCTTGCTCGTTTAGCAGCACCCAGGCAGGACAGTAACTGGCTGTCATAGGTTACTGTGGCTTGCAGCATGTAACCTAGTGATACAAGGATGGAAACCAGCATCTTACCTTTCAAGGTGTCCAGTTATCCTACTCCTAAAGGGTGTTTCTCCACTCTTACAATTTCCAATAGGAGGAAAAAAAAGTATTTCATTTGTTTGCATAGACTCAGAAAGTTTATGCATTTGGTAATATACAACTAGGGCACATTTTGTTTCCAAAAGGAAGACAACTGTTAATGTGTGTCTCTCTTTCAGAATGAAGTTTTAGAGTATCAGAAGAGGCTCTCATATTAGGGTTCCTGTGCCTCCCACCCCCATACTACATTAAAATCCAGCTAAAGTTTCTCTAAATCAAAAATCTGGATGGATTTCTAAGACAGGCAAGTGTTACAGATATTTGAAAGCACGTGCTCACATGAGCTTCTCTTGTGGTACTATTTCAGCAACACCGTTCACTCAGTGTGTGATCAGAAGACTGATCATCAAGATTAATATCTTTTAAATGGCTTTTCCTCTGGGTGATGACATTATGGGTAGTTTGGCACAGATAGAGGTCATGGGTTCT